AAGAACGGGCAGCTTGTCTATAGTTGGATCAAACCTCTGATTTTACTTTTTTCACACAGGGGTTATATACACAAAAAGGCAGGATGTGGGGAAGGGGATGACACAGGAGCGTAGGTGTTCAGGGTGAGTACAGATATTTTTCAGAACAGCGTATCAGCTGGGTGAAGGTTCAGGGGACAGGTCACTATGACTCTGCCTATGATTCACTTGTCCTAATCTAAGTTGGTACTATCCACCAAGGCTACCCAAGGTCTATGACTATCTACAAGACTTATGACTACTTGTTCTCATCCAAGCTGGTAAATTTCCACCAAAGCTGCCTGTTTACAATATCTTATAGCTATCTGTTTCAGTGTTTTTCCACAAAGACCCAAGACTTTGTGTTAGCAAGCATGTATGTCAGGCCTATTACTGATGTTAGGCTGTGCAGCTGCCCTTTAACTCCCTGCAAGTTTTCACCGAAGCAATTTCATGTTCCTCAAGACTACCTTGACTCCATGTTAAAAATGCAGTGTCTGCCACCTCAACATATAGGAGCATCCCTTTCCTCCCCTGGGGTGTTTTCTTGTCTGCTGATCCAGTGGCTGAATTACCATCTCAGAGTTTCCTAGCTCAAAACAATGGCTTCCTCCTAGTCACCATTCTGTCTCTTAATGGGATCAGCTAGTTCTGAGTTCTCTCTTATGGTGCAACCAGACATTATCTGACTCTGTAAGCTGGACCAAGTGTGTAGAATATCCAGGATGGCTCTCACCCAACTGAGGCTGATTGTTGGCTGGGAACTCAGTTGGTACTGCCCACCTGAACATCTTCATTTTCTCTCTCTCTATGAGCACATTTTATGTAGTGTGGAAATTGGGTTCCAAGAGGGGCTATCTCATATATGAGCAGTCTAAGAGACAGGAAGTGTAATGGACCAGGCCACTAAAGGCTGTAACTAGATTTGAAACAGCACCAGACAGATTTTAGTTACTATAACAAAATACCAGAGTCAGTCTACTTAAAAAGTGGAAGGTCTTGTTTGTTCCAGTCTCTGGTTGCATGGTCCCATTATATTTGGGCCCATGTTGAGGGAGTACATGGCAGAGAAAATTGCTGAGT